CTAGAGAATCCATCAAATCAAAGTTTACTAACTAGTGCCTCTGTATGAAGGGATTTGGTACCTTGTCATTTGAAGACACTTTTGTCATCAGAGACTCCTCATCCATAAAGAGATCTGACTCAGCCTGATGCTCTTCCTGCTTCTGTTGCTCATCCAGCTTTATTGGATTGCCCCGGCACAACAAGATGCTCAGAATGTCCACGTAGAGGTCAATGAGTTGAGGACCCACAGTTTTACCAACCTATGGAAATAAAGGCATCTTGGAAGTCAAGAAAAGAGGACAATGGGAGTGGAAGGGCAATTATTCAACAGGAATAGGAGTTAACTAAGAACTACTTAGATTACAACCTCTTCTCGGGGGAGGAGCCACTTCCTTATGTAGAAACCTGATTCTAAGAGAAGTCTCAGGTTGCCAAATAAATATTGACAGATTTTAATTTATACTGTGACATTTGGAGTTATACAGGCTAGTGAATTTTACTCTCTGGAAAGGCCTCTCGGGGAGATTCAAGAGCTGGATTAAAATCTTGAGTTTATTTGCACTCACACCCATGAGTAAGGTAACCCATGCAAAGTAAATCCATCACTCTTCAATCTTGGCAGCAGCCCACAGAGCATCACACAGAATAGTATTGAATAAGATCAAAAAGTGTTTGCAGTGACCTAGACAAGTGCTCCTGACCACTGAGGTACCTGAAAAATCCTCTACACATTAGTTCTTGCTGAAGCAAATGATCCACCTTCACTGTGTTGTGCTAAACATTCCTATATTTTAACAGGAGGCACCACCTCAGAGAAGAACTGATTTGTACTGTGGGGCACACACCCCAGTTAATGTGTACAAGTTAAATAGAATTTCCTTTCAGAACTGGGACTTTCAGTACACCCCAGGTGCTACTTGACTGCCAAATACACACAGAGGACTTAGTGAGGTGCTGTGGGGTTGGCAAATCCTGCTCCAAGCCCACCTGATGGAGTGATTTTAACGCTTTCCTCAAGGAGGTGGTAGAACTTTCCAGTACTTGCCACCAGAGCTTCATTTCTCGAGTTTTCTTTGGAAAATGCATCCATTTCCTATTTAACAATGCAGTCCTCTCTCCCTGATCTCGGGAAGAGCTGCCTACCGACATGGAAACCACTTTCCTCTCCTGATCTCCACACTCTGTCCTTAAAACACTGTGTTACTGAAGCCAACTACTTCCAGATCAAGACTATCCATGCAGGGACAGTGACTCTTCTCTTCAGGGTCAGGGAAAAAGGGCAGAAGCACCTGCAGAACCTCAATGCCCCTCTTGAGCACGAAACACCATGCACCTCCTTCTGCTTGCAGGGAAGATAATAAAATTTCTCAAGGCAAAAAATGATAAATGGTAAGAAATTATTAAAAATGGATAAAAATTATGGCACTTTCACGCCTCCGGTAGAAATGTCACATAAAACCAAAAAAAATCTGTACCTGTTCCATGTTCAGACTGAAGCAACAGTATATTCCTGGCGTCTAATGCAGCAGGGACAACAGCACTGAAAGGAAATGTTTGGATAATCATGTCTTCATTTAAGGAGAACCCAATTTCTTCATCGAAGCCATCACTGCCCTCGATCAGAACATCACCATGTCCAGGACATCTAATAAGTGAAGGAAAAATGTAAGCAGAGGATCCAGACTAACTGGAAAAACAACAGAGGTACAATGCAACATTCCAGGAACACAAGGCATCTTTTTAGTTCCAAAAAAAAAAAAAAAAGCCACATTTGTCAGGCGATACAATGTTAAGTGCAACACAAAAACCACAGCTGTACTTCACTGTGCCTTTCAGTGCTGCTGTCCAGCACAGGTTGCCCAGAGAAGCTGTGGCTGCCCCAGGATCCCTGGAAGTGTCCAAAATCAGGCTGGACAGGGCTTGGAGTATCCTGGGCTACTGAAGAGTGTGCCTGCCCATGGCAGGGGTTGGAACTGGATGAGCTTTAAAAGGTGCCTTCCCATCCAAACCATTCTGGGATTCCAGGATTCTATGAACAGCCCCAAGCAGAAGGACTAAATTTCCATTTTAGTTTGAAAATGCTGCTGCAAGAGCATGAAGAGATTTCAAATACTGTTAAAGTGGCACAACCACATCAAAAATTACATCTGGGGGTAAAGTGGTAACTTGGCAATTCCAGCTTCCTATAGCAAGTACACGTGGAGGGCTGAATCCTGGAGGTCCTTACATAACAGGATTTCTATAGTTATCCATCCCCAGTCTGCTGATTAGGGCTAGAAAATGTAGCCCCAAGTCATGGAATTCTGTTGTTGAGGGGTTACCACATACCATCAATGTGAGAGACAGGGATGCTGATGTTATCAGAGTCCTGTTTAAACATAGCAACCTGGAGCATGCTGGCTTCCTGAACCACGTCTGCTGCTTTGTCTGTGTAGGGATAGGGCTTTGTCACCAGCTTCAGAAGGATCTGTCAGCAAAGGTGGGGAGAAAAGTAAGTGCACCGGCTGTCAAGTGCAGGGGAACCATCTGTTGCTAAGAAAGACCATGTGCTAGAAGCAGTTGGAAGCTGGGCAGGTTTTAGGAGGACAGGTTCCATATTACTTCTGTAGGATTCCATCCACAATTCCTGCTCTACAGGGCGCCACGTGTGGAGCCCGCTCTGGGCCGTCCGCGGGCGGGGCCCTGAGGGGCCGGGCCGCGTCCACGTCCTCACCAGCTGCAGCATCCGTGCCACACCCGCGACGTCCCCCGGGCCGGCCGCCTCGGGCCGGACCGGCTCCCTCAGCCCGGGGCAGCCGTATCAGCCCGGCACGGCAGCTTCAGCCCGGGCAGCAGCCTCAGCCCGGACCGGCCGCCTCAGCCCGGACCGACCGCCTCAGCGCGCGCCTTTCCCGTCCTGCAGAGCCCCTCACCCTTGGCGGCGGCCGCGGGGTCCCGCAGCAGCGCCTTGAAGCGGGCACCATTGAACTCCTCGTCCCGCGGGCCACAGGCGCGCTTGGCCGCAGGTCCCCCGCTCCGCTCCGCTTCCCGGCCATGCCCGATCCGAACCCGGCCCAGGCACGCCCCGGAACCGCCGCCGCTGCCGCAGGAAGGGGCGGGCTGAGCGGGAGCAGCCCGGTGCCGTGGAGGACCCGGCTCGGCCTAGCGGGGAGGACTTCCCAGCGATCAGTGCCGAGGTGGGCAAAAAGAGTTAAAAATAGTTATCATGGAATGGTTTGGAAGGGACCGTAACCATTCCCACCCCCTGCCATGGCAGGGACATCTTCCACTAGGCCATTTTGCTTCACGCCCCGTCCAGTCTGGCCTTGGACTCTTCCAGGGACCCGGGGGCAGCCACAGCTTCTCTGGGCAGCCTGTGCCAGGGCCTCCCCACCCTCACAGCCGAGAATTCCTTCCCAGTATCCCAGTGCAGCAGTCTCTCATCCATGGCTGCTTGCAAGGCCAAGCAGGTTTCTGTCATCCCAGTTTCCCCGTACTGCAGCCCCCTGCGATCCTGAACCAACACGTCGGAGTGGAAGGGCAAAGCACGGAGTGAAGGGAATCTGGTAGGGGAGAGAATTTGCTCAGATACTCCTCTCTTTCCAGGAAAGGGAAAGGCTTCGGCGTGACCTAACTGTGGCTTTCCAGTACCTGAAGGGGCCCACGGGAAAGATAGAGAGGGATTATTTATAAGGGAAGGAGTGACAGAGAAGGGGGAATGGCTTCCCACTGCCAGGGGGCAGGCTTAGATTAATTAACAGCTACACTGTTCCTTTGCTTTCAGCAAGAGTTATTCCAGGACAAGCACAGTGATAAGGAGGAATGAAAAAAAGCCTTGTTCCAATATACTGTTTCATGTGGAATGACAGCAATTGAAACAGTAGTGGAAGATAGAGGAGATTATTTCGGTAAGATGAAAATTAAAATAAAGATCTAACCAAATCCAAACCAGACTTTTTTTCATATGTGCAAGTAATAAAGGTAACATTAGTATATTCCTGGGCCTTTTCAAACTGATTTTTGTTTTGTTTTGTTTTTTTTAGCAAAATACAGTAAAAAATAGTGATCCAGAAGAGGGCAACGTTCACAGCCACTCTGAGACCTAGGATGAACAAATGCTTTCACATTGACAGAAGTTGCTGCGATGATTTAAGAACAGAGGATAGAACAAAATAAAAGAAGCTGAAGTCAGAAGAACAGAAAAGGGTAAAATAAAGGGAGTACATAAGACTGGGGGGAAAAAAGGAAATGAGAAAGTATGAATTGCTAGACACTAGGTACAAGGGATTTTTCAAGTAATTTATGAGAACAAAGCTAAAAGCATCTTACTGCTGCTAGTGACATCATGCTCCAAGCTCTGCTAATAATTCCTATTTCTAGGAATACTTAAATTTAGCTCACTACAGTCCAACTATTTTTCTGCTTGTTTAGATGGCAGTTCCATTTGAAATTCATCTCAGTATAGCAAATTCTATGCAAGGGTACAGATTTTCCAGTTCTTCCGTAAAACATTTGGTGCTTCTTCTGGATGATGGGAATCCTTTGTTTCAGCCTTACAGTTTTCTTGAAACTTAAATTTATGGAGGTGTCCAAATACATGTGCAATTCCAGAAATTGATAGGTACATAATATGGAAGGTAAATAACATTCTCAAGAGGGAGTTGCTTTGTCATTGAGGGGATGAAAAGGAAGGCTAGAGCTAGAAAAAAAATAATGATTTAACACAGCTTTGAAAAGGCTCAAAGTACCCATACTGAGATCCTCAAGGTAAAAATCCTAGTTACTAGACTTACAAGCCTGGTAGCTAAACCATCACACCATATTTCATAGTTCTAGTATTTTAAAAAGTACTGCAGAATGGTACTGAAAATTATTTTAATTTCATTTCATTTCAAGTTCATTTATTCTCTCCCCTCACTGCCTGTGTAGCTGTTAGAGGCTTCCAAGAGGCTGGGGAAGCAGACTGCTGCTTTCACTTCCAGCCAGGTCACTTCCATGTTCTGCTGGAGTGCACTTTGAAGCCCGTGTCCTTTCCTTTCTCTATTATATCTGACAGCTTTCCTCCCCTAAGTCTGTTTTTTGGCAAGCAGCATTTATGGAGGGCCAGTCGAAGACCTCAGGCTCAGACAAAATTCATCTGCTCTGTTGTGCTTATATGTGCAACAGACGGGAGCAGCGAATGAGTCAAGGAGCAGCTTCTGAGCTGCCCGGTTTTCAGTAAATCAAAATATTCTTCTGTGGTTCTTGCCAGATGAACAGATCATCATATCCAAGTTACACACTGCCCCTCTGGCATTTTCAAGCCTGAAAAACAATTTCTGGTCCCTTGCATGAGCCTCAGCTCTCTGCGTTGTTCAGGGAACAGTTCTAGACACAAGACTAATGGAGCCAAGTGATCCTTTCCTGCCTCAGTTACGACCTCTGAAACCTCTACTGCCCTGAACAGTATGTAAATAGCCAAGCCCCAGCCCTGCAGTCCTGCTTATTTGCCTTTGCCTCCCAAACCTGAACCTTTTTCTTTGCTGTGGGATCCTCACTCATGCAGTCCTGAAGACAAAAATCTGATTTGGTAGATGAGGCTATTTGTAGTGCAAAGCTTCACTAAGGTTTCTCTTCTGATTTCAGCCTTAAACACTGCTGTCCTTCTCAGCCAGTCCCTCTCTACGGCCTTCAGCCATAGATACTTGCTGTTCTGTAGCTAATACTTGCCACCCCTCAGGATTAAATCTCTTGATATGCATTTACATCACTCCCTAACCATGTCCTCATGACCCTTCCCAAACTCACCCTGATCTCCAGGCCTACAACCTCTCCCTGCAGATGAGGGACTACCTCTGAGTAGGACTGCTGACAGACCTGTGCACGAGTCCAGCTATACAGCCAGTGCTAATCCCATCCCAAACCTGTCCTTTAAACCCACTGGTGTTTGGGTACTGCAGCCCCAGTTAAAGTAACCCCTGTGGTTGTTTCACTTCAGGGCCATCTGTGAGTTGAGATTCCCTACCCTACACTAGTAAGAAATGCATTCATTCTTAAAATAATTTTTTTCATTTTATGTATAAATTAACCGTAGAAAGCATTCAAACGGAATGGATTTAATCCAAAATCCCATCTCTAAAACTCTAGTTCTCAATGTTTACTCTTAGTTTACACAATTATTCCACAGAAAAGTTTCCTTCAGTTTTTCCCAAAATTTCAAGTGTGATACAGAGCTCTTTGTCAAATCTTTCTGCTTTCCAGCCTTTGACACCCTGAGGAATGGGATCACAGAAGGAGAGAGGGTAGATGCTGCCAAGAGATGGGATATCAGGACCACCTCCTCAGCACAGCCTCCTGAGAAGGGAATATTCCCAACACTATCACTTCTTTGTCATCACATGTCCCAATGCCCTGTGCCCAGTGCCCTGTGTCCCATGATCCTTGCTCTGATCAGCCCAGTGCTAGGTCATACACTTGGAGACAGAGTCATTGCAGTACTTGAACTCCAGAAGTTTGGCATTGAGGAGTCCAGGTGACGTGCAAGGTCAGTGTATGGACTCAGAAGATGAGTGGGCTGGCAAGGCTGAAGTAAAATCACAGTTTTTTTTTACTCTAGATGCTGTAAAACAAAATCACCTCTCCCCCTCTTCTCCCTCCTATTCCAATCCCATAGTTACTTCAGCTGGAGTGCAAGGAGTGCATTTTAGGCCTGACTAACGGCAATTTATCTTCCTCCCACAAGGAATCTCTAATACTAGAGCCTGTCGATATGGAAGGATCTGCCAACAAGGCACTATGAGCATCAGGGGTTTGTGTCAGAGCATGGTGCAAGTCTGGAACTGGGCTGCATGCCCAGGTGCTGAAGATGGGTGGAAAGATCAGCAAAGAAGGAAAAAGGACAGAAGAGTGGGGAGGTCAAAGGCTGTGAAGAGCTAGAGGAGGCACATGCTGGAAGCATCTCTGAGTATCTACTGCAATACTCGGGGTATCTTCTGTGTACTGAAATCCTTCCCACCTTCTACACGTGGAATAATCTGTCATCCAGTCTGAGTTAGTTTGACATAGTCACTGAGTCACACAATTTACCAGGGAGCCCTTGTAGTTCTGACGGGAAAAGCAGGCACTTACAAACACTGCAATAATTATTTTCAAATTTTGTTATTTGCTTTTGATTTCACAGTGCTCAGGTCGAATTAGCCTGAGGTCTGGATCTCAAAACTATCAGCTCTCATTGATTAGATATTGATATGGGCTACTCTTTTCTGCAACACTACCAGTTTTCCATGCCTTTACATAGCTAACTTGAGAGACCCTGAAGCCTGATTTTTTTCAAGGCTCTTTGAAAAGCCACAGTTTTTTCAGTGTTTTCACATTGATTCTGTGGCTTTAAAAAGTTTCAGTCTTGAATTTCAAGTACATAATCATTAGTCATTTTGGAAAATATTAGCTTAAATACTTGTTAAAGGGGAACAGTAACAACCAATCAAAGGCAGGCTTATAAAACCATAATAAAGCACTTTCACAAAGAAGTTGATTTCCAAGACCATGGTCCACTGAGTGACTCTGTCCTAATGTCCTTCCTAAACTGAGAGGCAAGACACATAGTCTTTCACAGTGTGTCTTTGAAGTATCACGTCAGGAAGTGACCAGGGATGATTTGGGTGCTTTAAGAAGGCAAGAACAACAAAGCCAGGACCTTTACCTTGGTGCATTTGTTCTGCCTCCACCTTAGGTCATGTTTTCTCTTGTTTCCAGCAGTAAGCTCTGTAAGATGGGACATGCCTCTTACTTCATGTCTATACAAGTGCCAGGTGCACTGCTAGAAAAAATAATCTGTGTACAGGAGAAGTGCCAGCAAGACTGGCAGCGTTCAGGAGGGTGAGGAGTGGAGACTTTCTGCTGCGCCTGGTGAGGAAATGGAGTGAAGTTTCATTCCAAATGAAACGTGAGGAGATTGCCTTTACAAACTTCACATGGGTCACATCTTCTGTCTTGTGAAGAGGTCAGGGTCTCTGTGGTGTTATGACTAGTTTGGCCAAGGAGCAGCTCATGAGCACAAAACTCAAAACTTGTTTAGCTGAGTTTGCTGTCTCTGAAGTGAGTCAAAAAACAGCAGAAAACAGCAAATATTTTCTCTCCTTCTAAACCTGATGTGTGGAGTACTGCACTCAGTATTCATTCAAATTTCTATTTACACACATGAGAGTGTTTCCTAATTCTGGCTGACTGAATTGGTCCTCTCAAGTTCAAATTACAGTACACTTGAAGATCTGGTTAGGTCTTATTATCCATAGTACTTTGTAAGAATTTACAGCATCCAAAACACATTTAGAATTAGAAAAAACTGTGGAACCAGTTTCTCTACAACTATTTTCAGCTTGTATCCATAGAAATAGAGGCTGGATTGGGAAAAACGCACTCTGTTATTTTAAATAATCACTATACAGTGATTACTGTAAAGTATGTGCTTTGTTTTAAGTGGTCTGACTCTCATTTCCATAGAAACAGACAGAGGATAGCAACCCACTTGTTTGAACTGTCCTGTAGATTCTGTCTGTGTCAGAATGCAGGAATATAAAACTTACTAAAATGTGGGAAAAGCCTGGGGATTTGTTCTTAATTTTTTTTTTTGTTTGGTTTAGTTTGGTTTTGTTTTAATCCTCAAAAGCCAAAAAGAACATTAGAGAACTTCTTGGAAACTTTATTCTGGGAGAATAAAATGAAAATTACAAATACCAGCTCTTAAAAAAATTATAGGGGAGAAAGCAGGAAGAAAAAGCAGTAGGGGGTATAGTGGTGAGAATTGTACACACAGGTGGGTGTGGGTGTGTGTGTGTGTGTGTGTGTGTGTGTGTGTGAAAAAGTATTTCTGAGATATTTTTCTGACAATTTTTGTTCTTGTACAGTAGATCTAGTGATTTTTTTCACTAATAGAAAAATTTAGGCCATCTAACTCAAATGTCTATTTTATTTCACATTATTTTTTTCACATTCACTTTCTTTTATTTCACATTGTTTTCTTCTTAACTGACATACTAATTTTATTGGAATTTCCATACACTAAGTCATTATATGAGTTTTGAATTGGCAGTTTGAATGAAGCTCAGGGAAAAATTAATAATATGGAGAAAAAGAAGTTAAGTGATCAGATTTTGGCTTTGCTTTTGCCAAGCTTGCATGTAACAACAGAAATCCTGCATTTCTGGCACTGTGAAATGATTTCTTTTCTCTGTAAGTCCAAAAGAGAGAAACTGTCTGAAGCAGATGTGATATCTCTCCTGAATTCTAACTTCTGGACTTTTGTGTGATTTTCTTTCTTTGGGGGAAAAAATGGAATCTAATTCCTGTTGCTTGTGAGGAAAGGACAAGGCTGAGATTCTGTAATTCTACATGCTGAACATGTCTGGATTAGTTATATTGTCTTCCAGCAACTGAGGATTGCCAGCTTCTAGGAGCTGCATTCTGCACATCATGATAAACACTTTCTCCCTTCCTGCCTTTGTGTTTTACACTACTGTCTCCAAGTTTACTATTTAAGCACTACCCATCGCAGGGAAAAGCAGAGATTTGGAAGACTACTTTTTGTATTTTAAGTTACTTGCTTTTAGGTTCATTTTAAATAGCAAAGTAGCCTCCATTCAGAGGGAAAAGAAAAAAAACCAAATCTATCTGTCTATCTATCTATCTATCTATCTATCTATCTATCTATGTACACAAACATAAATGCCATTCAGTCCTGTTAGCCACAGTGTCCTAAGTTTTCCTCGTTCACAGGAAGGCTTCCCTTGAAGGCAGATGTCTGCAAGCAGGAGGACCCAGCTGCCTCTTGTGCCGTCATTGAACCCTCACTGCTTCACCTCCCTGGAGGTTACCTACGTTTTGAACCTCTCCCATTCAGTCATTCAACCCTCACTGCTTCACCTCCCTGGAGGTTACCTACGTTTTGAACCTCTCCCATAAAGTGCAAAGGCACTTGGAAACTGCCTTTGCTTTGGGTTATACCTGCAGAGTGCCAAAAGCATACCAGGCTCACTCCTGCTCTTTGGGATGGTCTTTTGCTTACGGCACCACCAGGCTAGAAAAAGCTATGTTACCTCACTGGGAAAAGAAGATTCACAAGTGCTCATCAGGCAACAGCCTTGGTAGACCTTCTGATTCAAAGCCTTTCAAGCACAAGTATGGGATACTTCCCAGTTACTTCTGCTGCTTTATATATTTTTATGCACTGATTGTCTACTTGTCACACATCTAGTGTCTGCTCAGTCACTCACAACAGGCTGAGTGGTCATTATTGACATCTGTTCCAGGGATTAATGAGCAGATGTGACAGAAGGAAGTGAAACACTTCCTGTTAGAGCTGTAGCAGGTGGCCTGAATGTGAGATATCTCTCCGTTGGCTGCATAGGGAGTGGAGGTTTGGCATCCTGAAGCCACAGATGGTCTGACTGCACTCACCTGAAGTTATGGCAGATACGAGGTTATAGCAGCTAGGAGGTTGGGATAGACAGGTAAGTTCACTTTAATTATCTGAACATGTTTCTAGAGGATCCAAGTATGGCCTCTGAATGCTTCTTTGTAAAAATCTTGATCCCCAGCATTCATTTCTGCCTTTGGTGAGACTGACCTGAGACAGCAATTGCAGGAAGTGTCAGATTGAATGATCAGGTAAGGCAAGATCAAGGGGAAAAAGGAGGGGAATAGGGGGAGACTCCCACAAGTCTCCTTCCAGTTCCCCAGTTGGAAGGCAGAGGGTAACTGGCTGAGTTCAGAGGCAAACACTGTCCTTATCTGAAACAGCCAGAAGCAAGGGCTTCACCTGCAGAGCTACTGTTCTCTCTCCCCATCTGTGTTTGCAGTTGCAGATGTTTCAGAGTGATTTTATACTGTTATTTCGGCACCTTTGATCCCATTTATCTGAGTTCAGTAACACTTGATGGAATGTCCCTGACCTCGGACAGGTTCATGTGAAACCTGTTTTGCTCTTAATCTGCCCAAGACTAAGGAAGCATAGGCTAATATATGTGTTACCCAGTTGTTTTTCTGTGTGTGAAGAGGAACAAAAGTGGATTCAGATTCAAACGTGAAGACCAAGTTGGTCAAAGTTCAGTGTAACCTCTGAAAAGAGGTGCCAAACTTTGGAAATTCAAATCTGGATGCGTTCCAACTTCAGTTGGAACAGGAGGAGCGGAACAGATTTAACACAATTAATTTGGTTCCATCATCTTTCACCGACTCACTCGTGGGCTTTTTTTCAGGAGAAAGATCAGTGTGATCATGCATGGCAGGATGTAAACAGCTGGATATTCATGTTTATCCACAGCCCCAGGGAAAAAGATTCTTTCGTGCCCCATTTCCACTGTTGGTTCTAAGCTCTGTTTCCTGAGGACAGCTCTTACAGGAACTGGGAGCTGTCCTGATTTATTCCCTTGAGTCCCTCATACCTTAAAAGAAGCACCAAATTACATTGGGTGGTAGTTTAGCAGGTAGTAATGACAATTTGTTTGAACTTCTCACTGATTCACTTTTCTGTATCACAAAAGATTTCAGGGAGCAACTTGAAGTCTCTCGAAGTAACTTCAAGGTGTTTCCTCACTTCGCAGTGAAAGCTTTAAGCCAAGCCTACACCCTTCAAACTCAAGGCACGCTGAACTAGAGTCGTCAAGCCCCGGGGCTGCGCTAAGGTGGTGTCAAGCACCGTCAGTGCGAGGAAACCGAGGTGGTCCTTCTGCAACATGGAAGAGTCAGTGCTGTTTGCCCACTGAAATCCCTCATCCAGAGATCCTGCCAGGCGTAGGTCGCAGCTGGGTTCCCTCAGAGACCCGTGAGCCGAGGTGTAAGGGCAGGAGCGGGGCTGGAGCGGCAGACTTGGCAAGGTCTGGCACGAGAGCCGAGGGCGTCTGGAGTAGGGAAAGCAGGGAAGTTGGGCTGCGGGGGACAGGGAGTGATGGGGAGCACCTTGCACCTGTCTCGGGAAAAACACAAACAGGGAAATGTGGTCACGAGTCGCGGTGTAATGTGTCTATAAGTCCGTGACAGTCCTCCAACCATTGCCAAGCAAGACTGAGGGGAGAGACGGTGAAATCGAGCCTCTTGACCAGGAGGGAGGCGCGAACGGCTCGGAGAGGGGTGGGGAGAGCCGGAGAGGGCGGGCGAGGTGCAGCCCGGTCTGAGTCAGCCCGGCCGCACGATGTGCGCCGAGGGCAGTGCCCGGCACGGCGCCGGGAGCCCGCGTCCCTTCCCGTCCCTTCCCCGCCGCCCCCGCGTCCCGAGTGCCCGCGCCGGCTGCACCCGCTCCCGCCGCGGCCGCTGGCAGGGCTGCTCCGCCCTCGTCCTCCTTCGGCTGTCAGCCCCCCGCAGTGCCCCGAGGGGACCGGCCGCAACCAGGGCAGGGGCCGCGGGCTCCCGGCCGGAGCGCCGCACGGAGCCGCGTATTCCCCGGAGCGCTCCGTGTTCCGTAACCCCTCTGCGGGGCCGTGTCCCGGGCCTGCACCCCGGGAGCGCGGGCCCGATGTGCCGTGAAGAAGGCAGGAAGGAGGAGAGGGTTAAGGGCTTCCAGAGGGGCCAGGTGGGAAGGGACACGAGGAGCTGGGCTGTCGCTGCGCGGTGGGAACGCTGGGCGTGGATCGGCCAGGGCCTGACCAAAAGTGCGTGGAAGTCCCTGGAAAGGTTCCCACTTTCTCCTGGAGACTTGGAGTCGGGCCCTGAGGGAGCGAACAAGTGCTGCACTTCTCTCTGCTGGGAGGGAAGCCTCGCAGCATGAGAGGAGTGGATGAGGGGAGTCCCTTCCCAGGGAGCAGAGGCACCAGCTGTCACCCAGGAATCACAGATCTCTGGGAAGGTGCTGCATCACTGCAAAGTGAAATGACTGCAGGAGCTGGGAAAATATCCTTGTTTCCATCAAGATGAGGAAGCAATCACTAGTCTTTGCTTGTGAAAACTGCAATCTTGTAACTTTTCTAGTGCTCCAGGACATCCCACTGCTGTTAGAAAGTTATTTAGAAGAGTTGTTTCTCTCCTCTCTATGTGTCACAGGGAGCACAGCATATTCCTGGCAGTTGGAAGCTTAAGGAGCTGCCTCTAGGTCAGAAAGCAAACCTTACCTGTATTGAATAGAGCAGAACTTCCCAAAAGCCAGTCGAGTGCACTGGAACAAAGTTAAGATATAATTAATAGCCAATATGTGTTGTTATGAATTTTAATATAGTTCGTGGTGATACAGTTCAATATGCTGGTCATGGTTCTGTAGAAACTACTTTCTCAGCAACAGAAAAATACAGTTGGTAATTTTTTTAATTGCATCTGGCTCCACAAGCCTGAAAATTTCTAAGCAAGCAGCCGTGAAATATAAAGACCAGAATTACGTACTTGGATAAGCTATATTTCTCATTTTAAATTCCTTTCACATGTAAAAGGTTTTTAAATGCTTGGTGTCTCATTCTTTGGTGTTTTTTTTGGTTTTTTTTTTTTTTTTTTTTTTGCTTAACTGCTGGTTTGGGATGTTAGTTTTGGAATCACATGGTGGTTCTCCACAATAACATAAAACAAATGTTCAAATTTTCCTTTTCAACTAGCTACGGAGTTAAAAATTATCCCTTTATGTAGGAAAGTTCCTCTCACAAAAGTCTGTTCATTTTTCAAATGATGCTATTTAGATAAGGTTATCCAAGATTAATTTCAGAAGTATAGCTGTCTTCAGTATTCATTGTGCACTGAGCTTTCCAGATAGGTAGAATGACCAGAGAAAACAGCTATCTCACCCCAGAGATCAGTATTAAACATGACATGCAGACGTTTTAGTAAATAAAATGTAGAAAAGGAAAGCAGATTCCAGAATTCCTACCAGACTGGGAAGTTCCCAGGCCTGAACAAATTGTGCTCACATTGTAATTTTAACATGGAGATCTAATCCAGAATGACAGAAAATACCAAAATATTACTGTAACCTTTAACAAAAAATGCATGCAGAGCATAGGGAGAAGTTTTAGCTGCCTCAAAAGCAGTTGCTGTGGACCAGGAGTTGGCAGAGGTGAGATGACACCCTGCAGTGCCATCCCCAGGCTGTTTAATACAGCTCCGTAACAGCAGCCTCAAGATGAGTTTGTGGAGTTGCTGATTTCCCTTGTTTGCTCCCTCCCTCGGCAGGAACAGCAACTTGATTTTCCTAAACTGCTGAATATACATGGCCACAAACCTGGCCCGTTTGGAGTGCCTTGCAGCTGCCAAGTGCAATGAGGCCTCTACCCCAACAGCCCAAACTCTTTTCCTCTCTCCTCCTCTCCTCACCATTCTGACGGCTTTCCAGAGTTCCTACACTGTTGCCAGGTTCCAACACCTGCCTGTGTAATCTCTGTTGATCCCTTAATGTAAATCTTATTTGTGCCACCAGTTGCATCCTGCCCAGAGCCCATTTGTTCATCACCAGACCTCGCTGTTTGCTTGTAACAACCCAAAGATGCTCCCTCCTGGGATCTGTTTGATGCTCTGGAAAAGGGAGCAGGGAGCAGAGTATAGTGAAGGGTTATTATTACTAAGTTTGACTTGTACTTGGGGTCTGTATCCTTTCTACTACCTACAGCTGCAGGTTCTTGCTCTCATCTGTCTAGCTTTTAACTATGAGGAAAAAAAATTGTCTATTTCATTGGCTTTTCCTGTTTGTTTGGGTTTTTTTTTGAAGGGAGACATTTCTTCACTGTGCAATAACATTTTGTGGATTGGTATTTTCTAGGGGAGAAAAATGTTCTGAAATAAGACACCAGCAGCAGTTCAAAATTCAGCTCTGTGAGAACAACTCAATAGTTTCTCTTGTTAGAAATAAGAGTTTATCTTATTTTGACACAATAGTTTCTCTTATGTTGACACAATAAGAATCTGCATAATCTATGTTTGTCTAGCAGCTTGAAGCAACAAACAAGAAATTTAAAGATTGGACTCGACAATCTTGCAGGTCTTTTCCAAACTTAATGATTCCACAAATCTATATTTATTAGTTCCATTAGTTACTGAAAGTGGAGACATGCTCTGAGGTCTGCAGTCCTCAGTGTGATTAATTTTTCAAAGTGAAATCCAAGTATTCCTGCCCAAATTTAAACTGAAACCTGAAGGTTTGGAAGAAGAGAGATTTAATCCACAGTTCTTTCCTTAGACCTTCATGAATATGAGAGTGATCCTACAACTACAGAATTTTCTTCCCCTCATGCCTGTTCTTCAAAACACACCTTTTAACTAAAATATTTCTTTATTTTCTCAGTGATCACTAGTAGCTTTCACATTTTGGATCTGGCCCCATTCCAGGGGGCTGCTGTGAATTTTGCTGGTTTTCCAGTCTCTGAACACCCTGGGCTCTCAGGACACCATCAGAAGAGCCATGTTTCAGGACATCAGGGCTTCATGACAGTCATTTCCTCACAACTCCTCTATGCTCAAGGACTGGTTCCCAAAACAGGCCAAACAAGGAGCTGGCAAACCCAGCAGACTTCTTTCCAGTATTTCACACTGTAGGTGTCCTGGTGCTACAGAAAGCCCAGCTTCTGAGAGAGAGCTGGCTTGGCTGGGGATGGTGGCATTCTGTGGGCACCTTCCCAAGGGCAGGGATCACTGCTCCTCACCTCCTCTCATCCCCTTGCTCTCCATGCTGGCAGTGGGAAGAGGCCTCAGCTCTCCATCCTGTCCCCACTCCTTCTCCCACCTTTTCCCTGTCTGCTGACAAAGTGACCTGACCCCTTATCCATCTGGGAACTAACTCTTTCTCTCTGGCAACACTAAGGAACATCCATTCACCTCTTTTTTATGCTCCTTCCTTCTTTTTCTGTTCTCCTTACTGCTCTGAGCTCAGACTTGACCTCGCCTCCTTGGCTCACTCACCAGTCAGTCTCCCTTTCTTTACCTGAGTCCCAGCCAGGTTTTCTGGGCAGCTTTCAAGAAGTGTGGCTGTTACTGAAGATCAAAAATGAAGTAATTGTGATTGCATAACTGGGCTGAGGAATGACTTTCTGGACATTAACAGAAACCAGCCACTGCTTACGGGTAGAACCTTTCAATCTCTGTCCACTGGTGTCAAGTTTTCTGTCTTTTCTTGCAAAACAGTTCAGACAGTACTGAGCTTCACTTTAACTCCATAGACTTGGTCTCCTGACCCAACCACAGAAACAAGTGGATCTAATGAAAAAGCAAACCAGTTCACCCAAGAAATATAATCTGCTCCTGTGACCTTTCTGCATTAAAAGTTTCCATTAAGTTCTGTGGCATTCACCCACCCCAGATTTCCCCAGGTAAAAGGAAAGCAAACAAATGCTTTGAGCAAATGCTTTGTTTGTAGTAATGTGGCAGGATCAATCACTACCAACCACAATGATGCAGAGGTTTTTTCTGTTGGCTTTGTGTTGGTCAGATAAAATCCTGTACAAATTTTCTTGAGTCAGTTTTGTTGACTCACTGTGGCAATTGTAGCATGTCCTTCCACCAGGATGTTTAAAGACGTGCTAGAAAGAGCGATGCAATGATGCATCTTCTCAGTACTGCCTTGCAAAAGTCAAGTGTTCATTGCTTTATTTAAAGAAAAGCATTTCATTTTAGAAATGTGTTTCATTTCAGTAATGTGTGAGTTAAACCTCAAAGTCTGGTTTAAAGTTTCTCTGAGTGAAGTGGGCTTTGGTCTTGGATTTGTTCTGTGGAATAAAGAGGTGTGTGTCAGAACTGAGATTTTAGTTTAGATCATGGTGCTGAGACCCAAGTTTTTGTTTCAGGCTTTTTCCTGCAGTTCTTTTTGCTTTTCTGAGGAAGTGTAACTTATGAAACCCCATTTCAGATGTGCTAATATTGTTTGTTAAATCCACTGGTGAGATTTAGTTATCCTTGTTAGAGAAGTAAAAGCTTTGGTCCTGTCAAGTTCTTACACATTTTATGAGGCTTTTACAGTAAGCTAGGTCTTCATCCCCAAGAAGGGCTACTGCCCCCAAAGCTCTTCCAAAATGAATTAAGGGATACTGTGATGCCTTACCCCTAGAGATGTTGGGGAATTCAGACACGAGACACAAAACTTGAGTTCCTGAGCTCCACTGCTCAGGGACCAACACGAGATTTGAGTCTACGAGATTCTCACAACTTTGGGGCAGGAAGTTTGGGGCAGAACTCTCTCTGTTCTCCCTGGGCAGATTGCTGGCACCTGACACACCATATGCTATTTTTATTCAAAATAAATAGCAGGGATTAGCTCCCCTGTGTCTTCCTATTCCATCTGCTTCCCAGTAAGGCAGAGATTCCAGTCTCACCTTTATTAGAGAAAGGGACTACAGACTTGTTCCAGATAAATACTCAGCTTTTGTTGGAAGTGTCCCCAGACAGAGAAGGCACTGTCTGACCAGTCGACACTTAGCAGAATTCTGTCATCTGCCAGCCATAATCTACAATTAAAATAGAAATATTTTGATATATTACCCAACACAGAGAAAATAGTGTTTTAAGGGAGCTGAAGAGCAGAAGGAGGCGTGGTTACGCCTTATTTGTTCAGCATTGGTGAGTCATTTAATCTGAATTTCTAGGCATTTTAAGAGTTTTGCTTCAAAGCTCTATTGTGTGGCTTCTGGCAACAAATTAAATACCAGTGAGGTTTGGCTCTTAATTTTAGAATTAATTTTAAAACATCACTCACTATATAAGACCTAATTAAAAGCCTATGGTCACTGGAAGGATTCCCAAGGATTTCACTGGGCTTTGGATGAGGGTCCCAAACCCACAAATATCTATTTTTTTTTCTTCAATGTATTTAATCTTGGATGGGAAGACAAGAATTACTCTTTCAGAATAGCTTTGCAGATTTTTAATTTTTAATTTCATTGGGCTAGAACTGAGTAGAGGATGAAGAAATGTTGGTGTAAAAAAAGTAATCAAGCACTGAGAGTGAAGTGCAGAGTATATTTTTGCTTTTCTAGCTTGGACTTACTGTACTATAAACCATCATAGCACTGCAAATCTGTGAGCTGCCAGATTTCTGATTTTTCCTGATCTTTTTAGATTTTCTGATTTTTTTCTGAATGTCAGATATAAGTGGGGATACAAAATAATGCAGAGCTTGAGTCAAAGTTCTGTTTGCAAAACAAAACCTGTGTTTTGTTTTCTGAGGTGGCAATGAACAGCCCCCTGGCTCTC